TCACATTATCCTGACACCAGGCCAGCTATAACAATTTCTCTGTCTTATCATAGCATGAGTCACATTATCCTGACACCAAGCCAGCTATAACAATTTCTCTGTTTTATCAACACATTAATCACATTATCCTGACACCAGGCCAGCAAAAACAATTTTTCTGTCTTATCATGGCATGAGTCATATAAACCTGACACCAGGTCAGCTATAACAATTACTCTGTCTTACCACAGCATGAGTTACATTATCCTGACACTAGTCCAGCTATAACAATTTCTCTGTCTTATCACAACAGCTTGAGTCACCTTATCTTGACACCAGGCCAGCTATAACAACTTCTGTCTTATCAAGAATGAGTCACATTATCTTGACACCAGGCCAGCTATAACAATATCTGTCTTAGCACAGCATGAGTTACATTATCCTGACACCAGGCCAGCTATAACAATTTCTCTGTCTTATCATGGCATGAGTCACATTATCCTGACACCAGGCAAGCTATAACAATTTCTCTATCCTATCACAGCATGAGCTACATTATCCTGACACCAGGCCAGCTACAACAATTTCTCTCTCTTATCATGGCATGAGTCACATTATCCTGACACCAGGCCAGCTATAACAATTTCTCTGTCTTATCACTGCATGAGTCACATTATGCTGACACTAGGCCAGCTATAACAGTTTCTGACTTATCACGGCATGAGTCACATTATCCTGACACCAAGCCAGCTATTACAATTTCTCTGTCGTATCATGGCATGAGTCACATTATCCTGACACCAGGCCAGCTATCACAATTTCTCTGTATTATCATGGCATGAGTCACATTATCAGACCCAGGCCAGCTATAACAACTTCTGTCTTATCACATTATGAGTCACATTATCCTGACACCAGGCCAGCTATAACTATTTCTGTCTTATCATGGCATGAGTCAAATTATCCTGGCACCAGGCTAGCTATAACAATTTCTGTCTTATCACAGCATGAGTCACATTATACTGACACCATGCCAGCTATTACAATTTCTCTGTCTTATCATGGCATGAGTCACATTATCCAGACACCAGGCCAGCTATAACAACTTCTGTCTTATCACATTATGAGTCACATTATCCTGACACCAGGCCAGCTATAACAATTTCTTTCTTATCATGGCATGAGTCACATTATCCTGACACCAGGCCAGCTATAACAATTTCTGTCTTATCACATTATGAGTCACATTATCCTGCCACCAGGCTAGCTATAACAATTTCTATCTTATCACTGCATGAGTCACATTTTCCTGACACCAGGCTAGCTATAACAATTTCTGTCTTATGACAGCATGAGTCACATTTTCCTGACACCAGGCTAGCTATAACAATTTCTGTCTTATCACGGCATGAGTCACATTATCCTGACACCAGGCTGGCTATAACAATTTCTGTCGTATCACCACATGAGTCACATTATCCTGACACCAGGCCAGCTATAACAATTTGTTTTATCATGGCATGAATCACATTATCCTGACACTAGGCTAGCTATTACAATTTCTCTGTCTTATCACGGCATGAGTCACATTAATCTGACACCAGGCCAGCTATAAAAATTTCTCTGTCTTATCACAGCATGTACAACATTATCCTGACACCAGGCCAGCTATAACAATTTCTGTCTTATCATGGCATGAGTCACATTATGCTGACACTAGGCCAGCTATAACAGTTTCTGACTTATCACGGCATGAGTCACATTATCCTGACACCAAGCCAGCTATTACAATTTCTCTGTCGTATCATGGCATGAGTCACATTATCCTGACACCAGGCCAGCTATAACAATTTCTGTCTTATGGCATGAGTCACATTATCCTGACACCAGACCAGCTATAACAATTTCTGTCTTGTCACAGCATGTACAACATTATCCTGACACCAGGCCAGCTATAACAATTTCTGTCTTATCATGGCATGAGTCACATTATCCTGACACCAGGCCAGCTATAACAATTTCTGTCTTGTCACAGCATGTACAACATTATCCTGACACCAGGCCAGCTATAACAATTTCTGTCTTATCATGGCATGAGTCACATTATCCTGACACCAGGCCAGCTATAATAATTTCTGTCTTGTCACAGCATGTACATCATTATCCTGACACCAGGCCAGCTATAACAATTTCTGTCTTATCATGGCATGAGTCATATTATCCTGACACCAGGCCAGCTATAACAATTTCTGTCTTATCATGGCATGAGTCACATTATCCTGACACCAGGCCAGCTATAACAATTTCTGTCTTGTCACAGCATGTACAACATTATCCTGACACCAGGCCAGCTATAACAATTTCTGTCTTATCATGGCATGAGTCATATTATCCTGACACCAGGCCAGCTATAACAATTTCTGTCTTATCATGGCATGAGTCACATTATCCTGACACCAGGCTCTAATATGAAGCTCTTAATGATTTGTGCCAAGCAAGGCAGCTACAAGTACTAATTTTGTAAGTTCTTGGTTGGCCAGGGCTCGAACCTGTGACTTCCCACATTCGAAGTAGAGACTAACGACTTAGTCAACTCCAGATCAGTCATAAATGTTTTTTTTAGTTCATGTAAAAGTATCAAATGGCAAACTGAAGTTTGAATTTCTTTGTAGGTTGCATGTGTGTGTGTTTTGTCATTGCCAGTTCTAATATTGATTCAGGGAGTACATTCTCCATTCTTCACAAAATACAAAAATGGCAAGAAAATATTGACAGCCTATTAAATGTGAAACTTAATTATCACAAAGAATATTAGCAGAGGTCAGCAGTCAGAATGTTGTTAAAGAAAACTAAAAATGCTGGAGGATTTTATACAACAAGAAATTTTTTCAAAAAAATCTTTGAAGTGAATTATGAAATATATAACTCTTCCTTTTTCATTTAATTTACATACACTAACTGGTATTCAGTCATTTAATTGACAATACACTTCTGGTAATCGTTCATTTAATTGACAATACACTATTGGTATTCATTCATTTAATTAACAATACACTAACTGGTATTCATTCATTTAATTGACAATACACAACTGGTATTTATTCATTTAATTAACAATAAACTAACTGGTATTTATTTATTTAATTGACAATACACTGCTGGTATTTATTTATTTAATTAACAAAACACTAACTGGTATTCATTCATTTAATTGACAATACACTTATTGGTATTCATTCATTTTCCATTAGACTCTGATTCAGGTACAAAACTTTCTCTTTTATTAATGAATGAATTATTATGAATTATTATGTCAAATAATCCTCTTGGTTTGTTTTCAATCACCTTAAAACATGTAAAATTGATGCTGATAAAAAAAATTGACTGGATTACTAGCCTATAATCATATTCAAATATATAAATCAGCTGGCTTAATATCCTGATTCTTTCCCATGTATGATGGAGCTTAACTCAACAAAAAAAATCATTACACAGTATGGTGACAGAACTGCATGTACATGTTCACTTAATGCAAGTAATGTCCCCAACGTTTCAGGGTAATTCATTAAACACTGGTTAATAGTTTCACTCAAAATAAATTGTTTTCACTTTGGGGTAAGGAAGAAGTCTATGGATATTGGGGTCAAAAGTCAAGGTCATTGTGAAGAAAAGAAATAAATTTCAGTTATCTGTGTTTTGGATTTTTAATGTAGTTTAAACAATCTGGGCCATATGATATCTGCAGTGTGCTAGTTTATAGTGATGTCTTGCACTTGGGCATCATGTCACAGATATGTGACATCATGTCCAACCTAGTCACATTATCCTGGCACCATGCTGACCAGTCCTAAGCTTTTAACACGGAATGCCAAGTGGGGCAGCTTCGAGTGCCATTTCTTAAGTTTTTGGTATAACTCAGTCAGAGTTCAAAACCCCTTGAACTCTCACAGCTGAGATGGAAGCTCTAACCACTTTTGCAACCAGAGCATTTAATTTGACTTATCTACATAGAGAATTAATTAAGATGTATATGTTGTGTACCACTCCCATTAAACATATCTTTCTAAAGAGACCATTGAGTATGCCTCTAAAGGATTTATTCCATTGGGAATTATCACCTTTTTAAAGAGTTAACAAATTAGCAAATGAACTATGCATACAAATTTAATTGCTCTCCTGTCAATGTTTGGACTTGTGACCTTGTTCTGACTGTTTCAAAACTGTACCAGTGTATTGCAGAATTAATGAAGGATTGTTGAAAAAAAATTGAAGAAACAACAAAAGTGAGAAATTCTTTATTATCTGTCTGTACTATCTTATCTGACTAATCTATTTTATCTATCATTTTTCGGAACCTATATTTTTCTTCACATATGTGTACCAGCAACCCTAAAAAAATCTTGCAACATGTTGGATGGTGCATAGCCCTTGTTGTCCTTCTGCAAACTACTTTCAAAAGATCACTAAATGGTCTACTCTCTCAGCCCACAAATAATTGCTTTTTTTCAAGATGGCAAGGATGCAGAAATAAAGTAATTGATTTTTTCCAAAAGCTGTAACACAATAACTATCACAATAAATATTGCTTCACCTAACTTCAACTCTGTTATTATTGTTTCCTTTTATGCCTTCATGCAGGAGTTCACAAGTTTTGTTTTCTTTTTCAGTCTTCATGTAGTAAAGAGACTGTTTGTGACAGTTTGTTTAGAAAGTATTTTTAAGACTTTAATTAAGAAAATAAATTAAGTTTTGTTGACCCAAATATGGTCTACAGAGCTCCATTTTCATAACAATGTTTATGGCAGTCATAATGATTGTGATTTAGATTTTTAACATAGCTTTAACAATCATGTCACTAAAATGTCTGCAGTGTGGCAGTTTATTATGATGTCCAGCACTGGGGCATCATGCTGCAGATATTTAGAATAATCCTGACACCAGGCTGACCAGTCCTTGAACTGACCTCTTAATGCTGAGTGCCAAAGGAGAGGCAGCTGCTATTACCATTTAAGTCTTTGGTATGACTCTGCCAGGTTTGAACCTGTGACCTCCTGCATAAAAGGCAGACACTCTAACCACTTAGGATACTGGAACAGTCTCACTTTATCAGGGTTTGTTTCAGTATGATGTCCTGATAGTGCATTCAGCAACAGAAATAAAGTATTGAATGATGTAAAATCACAAATAATTGGTTTCCATGATTGAATAAGAAAAACTAAAAGTGAACTAAATTAAGTAGTTATTCTAAGACATTAATTGACTACTTGTATTCATGACCATACCTGTGTTGTAAGAGCAGTGGCAGTAAAGTGAGGGTTTTATATAGAGGGACCATTGTCCTAAAAAAACTCAGTCCATAGAATGATTTGCACAGTCATGAAGCAAACTTTTTATAGCTCAAGACCTCAGAAAGTCAAAAGTAACAAAATTTTTAACCAAAAATTTAGACTTGTGTGTCTGCCATCTTGGAGATGAGAACAATGTACTACTAATATATATATATATATATATATATATATATATATATATATATATATATATATATATATATATATATATATATATATATATATATATATATATATATTCAATATATGTATATATGCAATAAAATATGTACAAGCTTTAAGGATGATTAAATACAGGATTCATATAAATAGTAGCAGCAAACATGTGTAAAACAAAACTATACAAATGATTGTGTTGGTAGATGTCAACTAAGAAGCTTTTTAAAAGCTTGGTTTTTGTCAGTGGACTTTATATAAGGTGGTATGGAATTCCATAGTTTGACTCCATAGAAAGCAAAACTATTCGTATACAACTCTGAGTTAGGTTTAGGTAAATATAACTTGTTGTTTGAGATGAAATAAATAATGTACATTTTTAACAAATTTAAAATGACATTTAGGATAATCAGAAGCCAAACAATGTAAGGATTTAGGTGATTTATAGGATTTATGGACTTTAAGTAAACCCTTCTGAAACCGAGATCTCTGCTGAAATGATAGCCATTTTAGGATTTTAAAAAGAATTGTTGAAGGTGTACCAACATAAGCATCAGGAACAAATCTGACTACTCTTTTTAAAATTTCAATAATCTTTTCTGATTTTCTGTACCCCTATTACCCCAGATAGAACAATATTCTAGTTGTAACATGATATCTTCATTGAAGAATATTTTTGTCTGTTCTGAACTTCAAACAATTAACTAACTTCCAGAAACATTTTGGTATAGTTTTATTGTATGTTACTATTGTGCTGCAAGTGCATGCCTTAACTGATACTTCTTATTGTGTGTATCTATGTATTACCTACTTCTTTCAGGTACCATGCAGTACATTGCAAAAACCCAGATCCATCATGTCTTCATGTGTCAACAGACTGAAGTCTCAGAATTAATTGCATAATGACATAATCAATATATATTTTGCTGAGTGTTTTGGATTGCATCCTTGGAGACTTAAGGTGTTTTTTATATCAGCTGAAATGAGAAGTGTTATGATGATGTACCACTAGAGAAAATTATGGACTTTTTAAATAAATGAAGTTTATATAAAATATTGACCCTTAATTTTCCTTTCTTTGACCATTATCTTTTATTTTGTATAAACCTTTAAAGAATTTAAACTTTTTTCTTTTAATTTTCAGAGATACATGATAACTCCTATTTAAATGGGATTATGTTCCTGTTGTTTTTTTTTTGTTATTTTTTACCTTTGAAATTTTAGAAGCAAAATGTTTCTTAGCACTATATAGCCAGTATTGTGCTGTCACATAGTTAAACCCTTTTTTTCATGTGATCAAATAAAATAATTGTGTATGCCCTAGTCAGTAGAACAAACAAGATAAACTCTGATCTGTCAGTGCATGATGTTATGGCAGATCAGGGTATATTTTATTTGCTGATAGATCTTATTAGTCAGTATATTTCACTTAAACAATATTATTTTGGATTGCAATCCATTATTCAGTTCATTTATTCAGATTGTTCTGAGATATGAATGCCTACAGGTGAGAGTGCTGGATTTAAAATCAGTTGGTGTGTTTTTTCCAAACCTGCTTGAGCCAACCCAGGTTGTCTTTTGTGGTATTCTTTGGGCAAGGCACTTACCTGTATTTTTTATTGTCTTTGAACTAATCTTCATGGTGCTGGTATACCATCAAATATGCATCTGTCAGTTTATCAATCAATACTCAGAAGTGGATGAAATCTGAAAAATATTTGTTTAGAAACATTTTTGCACATAATATATGCCCTCAATTTTATTGAGCATGACTGGTCCTCAGTTTTACTGAGCATGACTAGTTCTTAGTATTACTGAGCATGACTGGCCCTCAGTATTACTGAGCATGACAGGCCCTCAGTTTTACTGAGCATGACTGGCCCTCAGTTTTATTGAGCATGACTGGTTCTCCCTTTCTCTCTGTTGGACAAAAACCCAAGCCTCAGACAACTATTCTTGGCACCATTTATTGTTAAGGGGAAAAAATTAATTATCTTTGGCATCATCTATTGTCAAGGTGAAGAACTAAATTAATTGTCTTTAAGGCACCATCTATTGGTTGGTAGGGGGGGTTAAAATATAAAATAATTATCCTTCATGCCATCTATTGTTTGGTGATATAAATAACAGCAATGAAAAGCAAAGTATACAATGCTAGAAAAAAAAATTAATAATGCAATAGTTTTTGCATGAATATAATTTCATCAAATATGCAGTTTTATGTTTTTTGCTGCATTCCAATTATTGATTTAAAAATGTGACAGTTCTGTGCCTGGAGGCTGCAATATTGATTTGAAGTCATCCTTATGTAATTGCCAAGTAGTCAAGAATGCGGCATAATGAGAGATGACTAAGCCTCAATAATTCTGGTGCTAAACCCAGGTCATAACCAATTGTCTGGGTTCCTTGCAGAAAATTGCAGACTCCCATCATTGATTGAATTTCTTCAAGCTGATTTTAAACTGAGATTGCACAAACTGTTATTACATTTGTAGAAAAATGTAATTTTGATTCACACAAGTTGAAGTTGTTTTTCATTATTAATGATTTCTTGGTTTGTTTTACTTACTGTTTTTGAAAAAGGGAAAGCCTATTTTATTTGGATACAACATGTTGGCTTAGGTTGGAGTGGCTCAGGAAGTAGAATTAATTTCAGTTGGAATTGTCAGTTTGAAATATGTCAGACAGACTTTCTATCATAAAATTTGCTTGCATAAAATATGAGGAAAATAAATTTATCCTTGAATTTAATGACAAAATGTTTTACTTTTGGGTCTTTTAAAAAGCTGCAGTATGGATGTTTATTCAAACAAGCACATTATGAAAAAAGAAGAATTGCCATTTATGTCTTGTTTTTTTTAAAATTTGTATAGGAAATGTACAAATATGGAAAATCTGTTTAAAAAATATTAGCTTTTCTTTCAAATATATTGTTATGATCGACTAATGAATAATAGCATGATTTTTTAAGAACCAGAATAAAGAAGATATCATGACTAACTAAAACCAAAATACACATTAGGTATTAGTGAAAAATATATATCCCTGATGATTTAATTGCTGTCTTAATTTCTCTCTCTGTGTTTAAACCATATCTATTGCTTTCATTCCCCTAATGTGACCCTATTATCCCTACTAAAGTAGAAAGGCTGCAAGTTGCAATACCTAAGTAATGGATACAAGCTGTTTGCTTTGGAATGTGTTGTGTAATGTTGTTCTAATTAGGGTGTTAGTGGTGGGTCAGAGAGGTTGCAGGGTTCAACAGCATTTTTCAGCACATGATAGGCTTCATATGGTGGCCAGTAGATCCCAAGAAAACCTCCAGAAGGAACATTGACCCAAAGGAAGCTACTGGCAAGCTTTCTCATATATGCCCAATGGTCAAGTCAAGGCTTGAACTCAAGTAAACCAAGGTGAGATGTGTGAATGGTCTTTAAAGGTGACACATACCTACATATCCACTATGACACCTTCAATTCTACCCCCACTAGCCACCTCACCCTATGACACCTTAAATAACTAGACCTAAATAATTCCACTCCAACCTAATCACATTACCCTATGACATATTCAATAACTAAACCTAAACAATTCCACCCCCACCTAGTCACCTCACCCTATGACACCTTCAATTCCACCCCCACCTAGTCACCTCACTCTATGACTCCTTCAATAACTAGACCTAAACAATTCCACCCCCACCTAGCCACCTCACCCTACAAAACCTTCAATAACTAGACCTAAACAATTCCACCCCCACCTAGTCACCTCACTCTATGACTCCTTCAATAACTAGACATAAACAATTCCACCCCCACCTAGCCACCTCACCTTTTGACACCTTCAATAATTAGGCCTAAACAATTCCACACCCACCTAGTCACCTCACTCTTTGACACCTTCAATATCTAGACATAAACAATTCCTCCCCACCTAGCCACCTCACCCTTTGACACCTTCAATAATTAGACCTAAATAATTCCACACCCACCTAGTCACCTCACCTTTTGACACCTTCAATAACTAGACCACCCCACCTAGCCACCTCACCCTATGACACATTCAATAATTAGACCTAAACAATTCCACCCCACCTAGCAACCCCACCTTATGACACCATCAATAACTAGACCTAAACAATTCTACCTCCACCTAGTCACCTCACCCAATGAAACCTTCAATTCCACCCCCACATAGTCACCTCACCCTATGACTCCTTCAATAACTAGACCTAAACAATTCCACCCCCACCTAGCAACCTCACTCTATGACACCTTCAATAACTAGACCTAAACAATTCCACCCCCACCTAGCCACCTCACCCTATGATACCTTCAATAACTAGACCTAAACAATTCCACCTCCACCTAGTAACCTCACCCTATGATACCTTCAATTCCACCCCTACCTAGTCAACTCACCCTATGACTCCTTCAATAACTAGACCTAAACAATTCCACCCCCACCTAGTCACCTCACCTTTTGACACCTTCAATAACTAGACCACCCCACCTAGCCACCTCACCCTATGACACCTTCAATAATTAGACCTAAACAATTCCACCCCCACCTAGCGACCTCACCCTACGAAAAC